AGGAATGCCACAGACGCCAGCTATCAGTGCCACTTCTGGCACCTAGACTACCAACTGGCAAGCCAGGGAGTAATCTCGGCAGTCCTCTTTGGGCGTGCGGGATTCTAAACCCTCCGGACTGCAGCATCAGCCTAAAAATTTGCCAATGCAGATCTACGCACCTCCTACACCCCACAAGCTACAGAAGTAGCCAAGTTACCTAACTACCTTTATCTAATTATTGCCAATGAAGTCAGGGCCATATGAATGAGTGGCAAGGAGGGCTAGCAATATTCCGAGTCCCTTCCGTTAAAGTTCACCTTCCTCCCCCCCCCCCCAAGTTTTTGAAAAAGAGGAGATTGGATTTATGCCCCGTCCTTCACTCAGAGTCTCAGAGCACCTTGCAAACTCCTTTCCCTTCCCCTCCTCACAACAGATACCCTGTGAAGTAGGTGGGGCTGAGAGAGCTCTTTCAAGGACTGCTCTTTCAAGGACAGCTCTTGTCAGAACTATGGCTTGCCCAAGGTCATCCAGCAGGTGCAAGTGCAGGAGTGGGGAATCAAACCCAGTTCTCCCAGATTAGAGTCCGCGCACTTAACCACTACACCAAATGTTTCCAAGGACCGTGGTCAGACCACTGGTTTGCTTAGTTCAGAACAGACCATGCTAAACTCCATCTGGCAATCGCAGCCTAGACCAGCCAGCCTTTTCCCAGCATCTGCCGCCCGAAATACCACGGATGGAAAAGGCTGAATGCAAAGACGCGCTCCAAAAAGGGTTTCCCAACTTCACCGTCAGGCCTGGAGTTCTTCCAGAACGACAACTGATTTCCGGTCTGGAGAGATGGAGGGCGGACTCGATGGCAGGGGTGTCAAACATACAGCCGGAGGTGCAAGTCTGTTAGCAAAGAAGAGGCGCATGGTGGTGGTGGTGGCAGCAGCGGCTGCTGCAAGAGCAGCGAAAAGACCCGCGTCGGGTGGTGTGGCTGGAGACTGTGCACCAAGCTTTCTCCTTCCCCCCTCCCCCCCCCGCAGGGGGGGGGGGTCCCTGCCTCTCCATCAGTGCGAATGCATGCTGGGCCTCCCCCTTCGCTTCAGCCGCAGAAGCGGCTTCCTTCACCAGTCACCACCTCCTTCTTCTTCACCTCTGCCAGCTTCTCTCGCCCCCGATGCCAGAGCAGCAGCCCTTTGGGAGGAGGGAATGAAGGAGGGAGAGAGAAAATCATTGTGTGTGAAGGTGGTGGGGAGCTGCTGGTGAAAACAGGCATATGGGGAAATGTAGGCATGGGGATGCCAGAGTGTATCTGGGGGGTGGGGTGTAAGGGATTGGCTAGAGGGACACGGAAGGGAAGGGTTGAAGCGCATGCAGCGGGGTGAATGGTGGGAACCGCGCGTGGAAACCCATGGGAGAGGAGGAGAAATATAGCTGTTGAGGGGAGGGGAGGTGCTGAGAGTTTGTGTTTGGGGGGCTGGCATGCAAGAGCAGGGGCATAGTTGGAGGCTACGATAAAACAGGAGTCTTCAGCGACCTTAAAGATTTAATGAGTTTTTGTGGCATCCTTTTTATTTTCTAGGTAACTGTGACCTTGCTATTCTCCCCAAATGGGGACGCAAAGTATTTGCAAGTATTGTTCTCCCCATCTATGTTTTTGTCCTCGCAACAACTGTGCAGGGTACGTTAGAGGCTGAGAGAGTGACTGGCCCAAAGTCACCCAGCAGCTTCCATGGCAGAGTGGGGCTTATGAACCTGGGTCTCCCAGTTGTTAGTCTCCATGCTCCAACCTCAGCACTATGGGGGAGGGGTGTCTTTGTGGAAGAAGAAGAAGAGGTTGGATTTATACCCCGCCCTTCACTACCCAAAGGTGTCTCAGAGTGGCTTAAGCCAGGTGCAAGTGGAGGAGTGGGGAATCAAACCCGGTTCTCCCAGATTAGAGTCCGCCCACTTAACCACGACACCAAACTGGCTCTCTGCAGCCCTGGAAGCATTCTTGTATGTGAAGCAGGGTTTCTCCTCCACTTAGAGAGGTCCACCCCAAAGGTCAGGTCTCTAAATGGGACTGAAATGCAAGGAAAGGTCAGTGGGAGCAGACTTGAGATTTGGAGGAAAGTGGATTGGTGTGGACGAATCACACAGAAGCGGTGGGGAAAAAAGAGCTGATTTTGGAGTTCTGGCCGTTGACGGGTGGCAGGTGAATCTGTGGAGGGTTCATGATTTTTGTGGTGGATTGAGCCAGTGTCGAGGGCGGGGGCTCCAGTTCCTTGGAGAGGTTATATCATATGTGTACATTTTGGGGTGAACCTCTCTAAAGTGGGGGAGAAACCCTGCTTCACATACAAGAATGCTTCCAGGGTTGCAGAGAGAAAAAGTTGTGGATCTAGTGAAGTGGGGAAGTGTATTTTCAGAGAGGTAAAATGACCCCTGGGATTACTTGTGCCAGGAACGGGTTGGAGGGATGGACAGGAAAAATGTCTCTAAGGTGGGAGGCATACTTAAGGCGGATCACACATAATGCATCATTACAGTCGACAAAATGGGACATTCACACTGCTGCCCATCTACCGATGGAAGGATGCCACAAATTGCAGGGAGGTGTGATGCTGTACTGAAGGATAAGCTTTCTGAAGTTGGCATTAGCAAATGTTACCATTTTGGGGATACGGATTATCCCCAATTTAAGGCTTTTGCTTCTAAAATTCTGTCTATATTTGGGACAACGTATGTCCATGAACAGCTCTTTTCTGTGATAAAGGTAAAGGTTCCCTTGCTCGAAAGCTAGTCGAATCCGACTCTAGGGTTGCGGTGCTCATCTCCGTTGCAAAGCCGAAGAGCCAGCGCTGTCCGAAGACGTTTCCGTGGTCATGTGGCTAGCATGACTAAACACCAAGGCGCATGGAACGCTGTTACCTTCCCTCTGAAGTGGTACCTATTTATCTACTTGCAATGTCTTGCTTTCGAACTGCTAGGTTGGCAGGAGCTGGAACTAGAGACAGGAGCTCACTCCGTCATGCGGCACACTCGGGTCTCAAACTGCTGAACTACCGACCTTCCACAGCCTGCAGTTCAGCGTCTTAGCCACTTGAGCCACCGCAGCTCCAGTCTTTTCTGTGATAAATGTCCACAAAAGTACACTCTCAGCTTACAGATACACCCCTGAAAGCATACTCAAGATTGGCATAGCACAGATGCTGACTCCAGATTTTGATGCAATAATTCAGTTGTCAAAGACTGTTAAGTAAAAGAAATACTGTTAAGAGTGTTACTATTTTAAGCATATTTGTATTTGGAGTAAAAAAATAATATTAATTGGGTTTGCCTGTGTCCTTTATAAAGCTTATATCTCTGGTACCTGGCATTACGTTTTATAGCTCACATGGCCCGGCCCGACAAAGTGACATTCATGTCAGATCCGGCCCTCATAACAAATGAGTTTGACACCTCTGCTCTACGGCATCAGGGCCCAGCTGAGCTCTGCCCTTCCAGGCACCACTTCCAAACCAGACTTGCCCACCCCAGCTCTGAGCCGTGGCCTCTCCCAAACAACATCTGTAGAGGGACACACAATGCTGCTATATACACAGCTGAATCACTAGACCAACGAGCTCAGCTATTGACTAGTTATGGGCAGATTTTATACGTGGAGATTCATGGATAAACACGGAGACGGCATCTTTCCCAGCTGGTCAGAGAGCCAGCTTCGGTGGGGAGGGCAGGGTATAAATCGAATACATAAAATGAAACAAAAATAAATGTTAAGGGGAGAATCAGCAGGTGCAAAAAAGTGTGAAGCGACAGCCTTCCCTCCACCTGCCAATTTCCCCCAGCCGACACCTCCGTAACTGCATTTAGAAACAAACAAAATCCGCTGAGGAAACTCACAGGTTTGCCTCCAGAAGCTCAGGAGGAGGAGAAGAAGAAGAGAGGAGACTGGATTTATACCCCGCCCTTCACTACCCAAGGGAGTCTCAGAGCAGCATACAATCTCCTTCCCCTTCCCACAACAGACACCCTGTGAGGTAGGTGGGGCTGAGAGAGCTCTGACAGAAACTGCTCTTTTTTCAAGGACAGCTCTTGTCAGAACTATGGCTTGCCCAAGGTCATCCAGCGGCTGCAAGTGGAGGAGTGGGGAATCAAACCCAGTTCTCCCAGATTAGAGTCCGCACACTTAACCACCACACCAACCAGTCAAAGTACACTCAAAATATATTGCAAGACTGATCTGAAAAGTGCAGAAGTGGAGGATGCGGGGCGGGGGGAGGGGGACGGGACAACAATACTAAGGCTTTTAAGTGAGCACCATTGTACACGAATAAACATTTGCTAATGACCGGTGTTCGTTTTGCCAGCTTTTCATTTTACCTTCTTATGTTAACAGGATAGAATAAGGTCAAAGGGGCATCATGTTGATATGGAAAATATTCGTAACCATAGAACCAGACTGCAAACCAAGTGTGTATCTGAGCATTTCCTTAAGATTTGCATTTCTGTATCAATATGCAAGGAGAGTTCAACAAAGTGCACTGCAGGATTCTAGCATTTCATTTTATTTTCAAATCATAGAGATATACTTGTGATCTACCGTTACTTGTGATCTACCGTTAGGGCATTCAAGTCCAATTTAAACAAAATTCTTGTAAGATAGACTAAATTAAAAACGTTAAGCGGGATATCACATTTTGAGAGAGACTGGAGGCAGCATTAACAATAACTTACAGAGTAACAGTAGAATACGCTACAGTGCAATTAAAAAAAATATATATCCGGAGACAGACGGCACATTAGCATCTGCGTAAGGAAATTAGCTCTTTCAGCAAAACCATTTCTTTCTGCATTCATAGCTACAACTTGAAAAGGAAATCCCACACACGACCGCAAGTTATTCACTTAGAACAGCCATTCCCTGTATAGCCCTTTCTACCGGTCACGTTAACATTCTTTATTAGAAAAGCCAAGTGCATTAAATGAAACTGTGATGGGAGGCACATAACTTTGAATACTCCAGTCCTCACTGCTGTGCTTTAACTTTTAGTTAACTAGACACAGATATATGAAATGGACCGATTCTGTTTCCCAGCTGCTTACTGAGACTTCTCTAGTCTTAAGAGAAAGATATAATTACGTGAGTTCCCTCCAAAGCTGTTTGTTTCTTTTAATGCACATTCAGCAAATACCTATACCAATGAGGCCAAACTACGTATCCTGACTCAAAAGTAAGCACCATTGAGGGCAATGGGATTTACTCGGCAGAACGTAGGCACAGGATTGCAGCCTAAGGGACTGAAAGGAAGTGCACCGATACTTAGATACTCGTTTCTAAGCAAGTTCCCCTTTAGCAGCTAATAAAAATGAAGTCGGCAGTTTACAAGTGATGAACAGCCAAGATTCAACAATGGTGCCTTTGGCACAGGCAAGAGGGTTCACGCAAGTCCCACGGAATGCGGCAAGCTTCTTTCTTTCAACCAGAAGGACCAAACACAAACTTCTTTTGGACCGTCCCTCAGTTTCAACAGCAGCCAACTGTGAGGCATGCGGAGCTGTGGTTCCGAAGGAAAATCCAGTCACAACCCCCCTACTTCACTAGTTGGATCAAGGCCAGAGTACTTGCGGATCACATTTGTAACAGCATTACCACCGCAATGTACATTTCGAGAAACCTCCAAATGTATGTATTGAAAGATGGATCTACTTACTTGCCATAGCAGGAGATGTACAGAAAGGCAGTGCCTTAATTACTAAGCTCTTTATTTTAGAACAAGGCTGAGTTCATAAGAACATAAAGAATCCCAACTACACGTTCACGACTACCAAAAAAATAAAAAATAACGGACAGTATGCTTCCACCCTGTCCCAGGTTTCAAAACTCTGTACCCACCACTCCGTAAGGTTCACGATACCCACCCGTGCTTGTATTTCAGCATTCAGATATTGCAGTGGCAGCCTCCTGAAAATGGTATGAAGTCGGTGCTGCAAGCCACAACCCATTGTACTTCTGAGGCAAAATGACCTACTGAATTTCACGGCTGAGGAGCGACCATGTATTGGCCAACTTAAAAAAAAAAATAGTCATGCAGCCGAAGTAAAATGAAAGTCGCGGGGAAACACGGGCTTTGATCGTTCTGTCGTGTTTCACAAATGGCAAAGGATAACTCAGAAAAGTAGGCCACTGTGAAAGACTGGAGACTCTGCAGAGATGCACACACTCTTTAGGCTGCGACCGATTCTGCTTGTTTGCCAAAGGCTCAGCTCGCCCTCGGGCCAGCCTTTGCACAGATTTCAGCCAGTCAAGACTTTGCTCTCCGGTTTCTGCGGAAAGCAGAGGTTGAGGTGAGCTAACAAGGCTCTTGTTCCTCGGCTGCTTCCTTGCAGCTCAAAATATCAGGCTGGTCTCCAGGGATCCCAGGGGCCACAAGCTACATTGGGAGGCCCTGCTGGCTCAGGAAACTTGTTTTCCCTGCTCTCTTTCTAGGCCACGGTTGCCATCTACAAGCTAGGCAGGGCTGCCTCGCTTTGATCCAGTGTACCGTCTTCACCAAGGTCATTCTGAGGGATTTTGCAAAACTTAAACTGACACTGAAGCACCCGGTTTTCACAGACAATCAGCCGCAGTCTCGACCATACAACGCTACCGTCTCAAAGCTGGGAAGCAGCGTTAACAGAATGTAATAAACAAGTTTTGTGCACGATTCTACTGAAATTCACTATTGTCAAAACGGCACCCGAAGAAACTGCAAGTGTGGGGAGAGGTCGATTTGCAGTGAACGTGAGCATGGCTTCAATTTGTAATTTTTAGCTCTTATGTTTGGACAAAATAGGCCTCTATTACACATTAAGACAATCAGCAGAAAAATATATGCTCTTCCAATAGCGTACAGTGTGCTTAAAAATATCTATTTTAAAAAAAGGAATTAAGCATCTGTTCACAGCTAGTGAACCCCAATATACGTTTCAGCTCGCTGCGTTTTCATACTTTTAAAATACAAGATAAAATCTTTACCCTTATTAGTTTATGTGGCTAACTAGATTTTAAAGTATCTGCCTAATTCAGTAAAAATTTAAAATAAAGTTACGGGCTTTCTTGTATATACATCACAGTATATGGTGCTTTTTCAGTTTAGCAACACAAAGGCACAATGATCAAGCAAAACATACAGTACCTGAATCTAATGGTTTTGGACTGACAGATTAAAAGTAATTTTAGAAGATGGAAACAGACCTAGAAGGCTATCTTCTCTAAGCCAGATCTCACATCAGAATGTTGGTGCAGGGGAACGGTTTCCTACGTTTGGGAATTGTCCAAAGACACAAATAACTTAATATGAAATGGCTTAAACTGACCACAGCTGGAATTTTTGGGTCAGCTATAAACATACCTGCTTTAATGTATCCAAAGAAAGAAAGAGAGGTACGTTTATAGCCTGAGGCATTAACACCATGTATCCACACAGACATACACACAGCGTGTTTACCATTTGTTACCCTTTTTTTGTAAGACTACAGGTGGCATTTTTAGAGACCGGAAATTTCCAGGTCTTAACAGCCAGGATCTGAGCTCTTTACTTCCCAACCATTATGTCAGCAGCAACTTTTTCTCTGCATCTCTCAAACAAGTGCACCTTTCCTGGAAAAGTGTTAACGCTTCACACCTCCCTTCTCGCATCAAGTAAATGGCAACGTCAAGAAAGTCCCATTATGCAAAACAGGGAAGGGATCAGGAACATGAGTAAGAATCCCACCATTCCGTAGGTAATGTAACGATACGGCAGTTCTACTTCCATACGCTGCCGGGCTTGTCGGATGTTGTCATACGGTATGCAGAAGATCTTACACGCCAGCGGGATGGTGACTTTCTAAATGGCCGTTTTTGTTAGCAACAGAATCACCACGCCAATCAACAATCGCAACATGGCTTTCCCAAGGACAGTCACGGTGAGGGAGGGAACGGGCAGGGGAAGTGCCTCTGGGGAAGGATCGGGCATCAAACTCAGCAGGTAGTTCACATGCGAGCCACAGGCAACCCCAGCCCCACAGCCCAGGATCTGAGCTGTGTCCCCTCGTGATGTACTCCAGGTGTCCAGAGTGAAGGAGAAAATTCCCAGGGCAAGATGGAGGCTGATGATTATTAGTGGTGCATACTTGTGGGTTAAGTTGAAGTTATCAACTAGGTCCACAGCTGGAAGGAAGACAGCCAAGATGAGGATAGCATAAAGGAATCCGGCAATAACATCCTGTTGAGAGGGGGAAAAATGATTAAATATGATGTATGTTATAACTGTAGTGGCTACATATTAAATAAAGGTTTTAAGACAAGAAAGCGACAAAATATTTTTAAAACAGTTTCAAAATGACACAGGCATGGGAGCAAAAGGGGGAAGGAGGAGAAATCTCTCTCTTTGCTAATGAGGTCACAGTCACTATTCAAAAGTGACCATCTCCCAGGTTGCCACCCGCCTGCCTTCTGAGATTAGGTGGGTGGCAACCTGGGAAAAGGACTTCTCGGTTGTGGCACCAAACTTTTGAAATCTCTCCCCAGAGAGACTCACCTGTCCCCTTCTGTTGCCATCTTCTGCCAGCTGGTGAAAACTCCTTCATTTTGTTTGGCATTCCCTCCGCAATTCCTCCCTCCTACCCTATGTTTTAATTGCTGTTTTTATGTGCGTTTTAATGGTTTTAAAGATGTGACTTTATTGAGGGTTTTTAATCTGTTAGCCACCTTGGTGACCCTGATGAGAGCATACAGGTGAGTATAAATTTTGTAAATAAACACATAGATGTCTATATTACTCCAGCAAAAACAAAAAGTGCACATATTTAACACATGGTAGCTGATCTCTGTAGGTTAGTAGGTACTTCCATAATACACAACCACATCCTTGAAACTGTATTATCCATGCAAACTCTGAGAGTTCTCATAGTAGTAGATCAAGATGGGTAGCCATGTTAGTCTGTCTGTCGCAGCAGAAAAGAGCAAGAGTCCAGTAGCACCTTAAAGACTAACACAATTTGCGGCACAGTATGAGTTTTCGTGAGTCACTGTTTATAATGCTATGTCCTTTCAGCAGTTTCATGATTGGCTTATAGAGTCGTTTGCACCCTCATAGCACATCAAGGATGTACTTTTTAAAAGCTATGTAACCATTACAAAACCCTTCTGTGCTCCTTTGTCATGTGGTCGCACTGGTATACCAGCCTGTTAATGTTGTCTGTTTCCTTTTATTTGTATGTCTATACAAATGTGCAGCAGAGGCTCTATGTGTACACCTGTTAGTGGTGGGGAAAGGGCTGCAACACTTTAAAGAAAGGAAAACCAGCAAGAGCCCTGGATACCAAATGGAAAACAGGGAAGTAGAAGGGCACACTCTGTTCTTCAAAACAAGTGCACGACCCAGGCAATAATACTGGTAGGTCACAGAGGGAGAGAGGCACATGCGAACAGGATGCAATATATGACTCTACATACACAGTAACAGCAGGCCAAGCCAAAGGCCTTTAAAACGTGGAGAAGTGTGCAGGCACTTCCAAAGCGTCTCCTCAGTACTTTCATACAAAACCCTGCGTTTGACAGAGTGCTGAAGAAACTCTCTTTATCCCATGTCAGAGCTGCCACTGCCTGAATCAACTCTTCATTACAAAAAGGAAATTATTTGGGGGGGGGGGGGGTTTAATCAGATTTTAACTGTTAGATTCCAGGACCATAGCCGGAAGAAACTATGGTCCTGGAGTCTGTCCTCTTGTTAACAGTTTGAATGAGACAAATAGCTCTCAATAGTGATAAACCTGGTCAAAACGTTCACACACGGTTTGTGAAGGCTATGCTAAAAAGAAGGCATACTTCAACGGCAATAACCTTTGAAGCCTTCCTTAAGAAGGGAAATGTGATCCTTTTCCAATAAAGAAAACATTTTGGTTCTTTGCAAACCAAGCTTGAACAAAAATCTACATTTTCTTCTGCCGTTGAAGGAAGTTAAGATTGTATCAGGACTGACAGAAGGTGGATCACAAATCTACTGGTGGATCACTGGCCCATTTTCTATTGGATAGCTTAGCATCTGCAAGTTGCTAAGATGCTTGCAAACAATAAAATGAGTAATACCTGTTACTCTAACTGTAAAGACGCTACAACTTGTAACAGCATCTTCCATTCTATATGGATACAGAATGTCAACATTTATGATTGAGAAAGCAAGTGATTTCTGCTCAGTGCTTTGTTGCACGTGGCTACATCCAAGATGCTTCTGATTCACATGCTACTTTCTTCATGCAAGTATGGGCAAGTCTAAGCCTAGAGATTTTTAATTACGAAGCTGCCAATGAAACAGACCAAGAGTTTGTCACTGTTCCTGCAGCACCTTGTGGCCTCCGGAAAGATCATTTCTAAGACCCGTGCAGAACAACAGCCTCACATGTTGGGGGTGGAATAGAAAAGGAAAAGGGGATAAAATTTCTCTTCCTTCCACTATTTACTTCATTTATAGGTAAAGGTAAAGGTCTCCCTTGCTCGAAAGCCAGTCGAATCCGACTCTAGGGTTGCGGTGCTCATCTCTGTTTTCAAGTCAAAGAGCCAGTGCTGTCCGAAGACATTTTGTGGTCATGTGGCCAGCATGACTAGATGCCGAGGCACGCAGAATGCTGTTACCTTCCCACCGAAGCAGTACCTATTTATATACTTGAAATTCCTTGCTTTCAAACTGCTAGGTTGGCAGGAGCTGGGGCCAGAGATAGGAGCTCACTCTGTCATGCGGCACACTCGGGTCTTGAACTGCTGAACTACCGACCTTCCAGCCTGTAGTTCAACATCATAACCATGGAGCCACCACAGCTTCATTTATACCCCACCTTTAATCCCAACGGTGACCCCAAAGCAGCTTACATCGTTCTCCTCTTCTCCATTTTATCCTCACAACCTACCTGTGAGGCAGGTGAGGCTAAGAGTACATGACTGGTTCCCGATCACCCGGTCAGCTTCCAGGGTCTCCCAGATCCTAGTCTGACATTCTAACCACTACCACACAGCTCTGCTAAAAAAGGAAATTTCATCCTCTTGTCCTGTCTCACTGCAGTCTCTTGAACCACACAGCTGTTCCTCCGACTATATCCCGTGACCCCAGGAATGGCCTTTCCAGGGGTCAGAAGGGGCCACAGGAATGAAAAGGAATAGAGGGAAATTCCATGTTCTTTCCACACATTGTGGGATACACACCACTATATATCTAACAAGACAGACATGCTTTCTGCTAGCCGCGGCCCAAAAGAACTAACAAAAAAATTGCCTCTCGAATTAGTAAGGCACAGTACTACAACCGACATAGGGATTTAAATGAAGGAGAGCAAACAACAGAGGCCCACCTGGGAGGGCCGGGTCTAATGGAGCCGAAGGTGCGGGGCTTCAGGTGTCTATGTACCAATGCCCAAAGCTTGGGCAATAAGAAGAAAGAGCTTGAGCAACTAATGCGGACAGAGGGATATGGTTTAGTAGGCATTACAGAGACTTGGTGGGATGATTCCCAGGACTGGAAGGTAATAGTGGATGGATATGAGTTGTTCAAGAAAAAACAAAAGGGTCGAAGAGGCAGAGTGGTGCTGTAAGTGAGGAGAGGGTTCGATTGTCAAGAAATACTGGAGGGGGAGGGAGATAGCCCAGGGGAAAGTATCTGGGTGAGGATAAGGGAAGCAAGGACAAACAGTATTGTGGTTGGAGTCTGCTACTATATAGAAATATTGCTTTCTAAATTCTCATGCCTTCTCCTGTGATGACATTCTGATGACAGGCTGTGTCTTTATTTCCTGTTGCAGGCCAAATGGTGAGACCAGATGGCCTGAGCAACTTAACAGCCATGCCATATACCCACATTCCTTCACACCTTTATGCTAAAAGCTAGACTTTAAGGCTCCACACTAGGGCACATAGCCCATGTCACGTACGCAATGGAGAAGCTGGAAGCTGGGTCACCTGACTGCAGGCGGGGCCCCAAACTTCTAGCCAATACACACACACACCTGATGTGCCGCTATGGCAACCAACCATTGGACACACCCATGTCCGCTCGTGATTGGCTGATGGCCACAGCTAATTATGACTGGAATTGGGGTATAATTCCGTTGGTCTCTATGGGAGTGAGCTTCTTCTCTCCTCCTGCTTTGCTTGCTTTAATCCTGACTTTGGAAACAAAGAGCAACTTTTGCTACTGTGGATCTGTATCTCTGAACAGACTGAGACTACATAATTGCGCAAGATGGGATTTCTCTTCAAAATCCCTTGGTGCCTACAGGTGTTGTTATTCTGGACAATCTTGGACTATGGACACTTCAATTGGTAACTATGAATCTTATTAATGTGTAATAAGGGCTAATAGCCATAGGGGGAATTGACCATGTCCTGCTAGAATTCCTTTTGCTGTGGGGGACCAAGGAAGTTCATAGCCCTACGTGTACGTTAGATTTCAGTAGGGCAGATAAATTCCTGGTGGCAGCAGAAACTACCCAGTTTATAAAAGCAAAGAGCACATTTAAAGTGAAAACCAGTCCTCCCAGAAAAGAGGACACCACAGGAACCAAGAAGACAATGTGGATGAACAGAGAAATGTGTGGTGTCCCACTGTATGAATGTAGCACCTTCTGAATTTGTTTTTATGATTCTAATTTGTTTTACTGTTTGACTGTCTTAATGTTTTATAATGCCAGTGGGCTTGTAAGCCACCCTGAGCCTGCTCCAGCAGGGAGGGCAGGGTATTAAATAAATAAATAAATACTAAGGGAGAAAAAGGAAATGTTCAAGAAATGGAGGCAAGGACATACCTCTAAAGAAGAGTATCTGCTGGTTACTAGGCAATGTAGGTCAGCCATCGGAGAGGCCAAAGCTCACAATGACCTAATGATGGCCAGGAAGGCTTGCTACAACAGGAAAATCTTCTTCAGATATGTGAGGAGCAAATTCAGGATTAAAGAGGTGATGGGGGCCCACTGGTGGGTGAAAATGGAGAAACTCTGGTCCTTTCCACACTTGGATCTCATCCCTGGTTTTACCAGAGTTCAACTCGTGACACAAAACCTTGCATTTATCCCTGGTTATAACAACATCCGTTTATCCTGGAACAAGTGTATAGAGAAACTGGAGTGACCTCAATGTAATGTGGAAACAAAAAATACCCCGAGATAATTACAGGGGTGAACTCACCTATAGTGTAGAATGTAAGTTCGGGGACAAGGCTGAACCAGGATTTAAGGTCTAGTGCAGAAAGGACCTCTGACAGAAGACAGAGAGAAAGCACAAAGGGTGGACCATAGGCTAAATATAAGCAGCCGGTGCAATGAAGCAACAAATAAGGCTAATGTGATCTTGGGCTGTATCAACAGAGGCATAACATCCAAATCGCAAGATGTCATAGTCCCACAGTACACTGCACTGATCAGGCCACAGTTCTGGAGGCCTCAATTCAAAAAGGATGTGGACAGAATGGAGCGGGTGCAGAGAGCAACGAGGGTGATCGAGGGCCTGAAGACCAAGCCCTAGGAGGAAAGGCTGAGGGACTTGGGCATGTTTAGTCTGGAGAAGAGGGGATTGAGGGGGAAGGCAGATGTTTAGTATGGAGAAGAGGAGATTGAGGAGGAAGGTCTAGACGATCTTTCCTGCTTACACTGGTTAGAATAGTGAGCCAGCTCACAGTTTTTTAGCCTCCAGCTCACAAGTTTTTGTCTTAGCTCAGGAAGGATGGCTCCAGGGCAAACTAATTTATGCAGTAGCCAAATCGCTCGCTCACAACTTTAATGCCAGGAGCTCTCACAAAGTAGAATTTTTGCTCACAAGGCTCCAAAGCTTAGAGGGAACACTGGCCATCACTGCTCTAGGCTGATCCTGCACTGAGCAGGTGGTTGGCTAGATGGCCTGTATGGCCCCTTCCAATTCTGTGATTCTATGATTCTACGGTTATCCATGGTACAGGCAGGTAGATACACAGCTTATCTGGAAGTTTCTTGACACTAATCAAGATTGAACTCTGGTTAAGAACCGCATCTAGAGATTCTGTGTGTTCAGGGACTTCCACTTGCTGACCTCTACTTTAAATATACAGCCTTACTTATAATATTACAAATTATATTCAATGGAACTTAGGAATTCTATTTTATTGGAACCTCCAACTATAATTCCCATCTGAAATTCAGTATCAAGGCTGATATATTTAAGCATCGAATGAGATAAACTTTAAATAATACATATTTAAAATCTGATTCTTAGACAAGATCTAAGCATAACTTCAATTAGCATGTAGAAAACATAACTTGTGACCTTTGCCTTACCAGAACTGAATGCATTCCCATATATATCCGACTAAAGCAAACCAGTGAACACCAGCAGAAAGCAAGAAGCAGCCCATATAACACTGGATACTGGAGAGGAAGAAAAAGAAGATAACACATTGAACTGGTTAGAAATGAAGTTTACTGGTAAGTCGATTTCAATGTAATATATCTTACTGACAACACTTATTAGATTTTATCTTCTGCAAAACAAAACAACACAACACATATATGAGCACTGGAACAAGAAATTAAGAGTAGGTCAGAGACCTGCATACTTCTTCTCCATGAATTCCCCTGGGTATTCTATTATTTGATACATTTATATATCACCTTATATATAGTCAAAGTATAAGCCTTCATGTGCATGCACACTTTTTCAGATACTAATCTGAAGAAGTGTGCACGCACACAAAAGCTTACACCTTGGATAAAACTTTGTTGGTTTTAAAGGTGCCACTGGACTCAAACTTTGTTCTGCTGCTTCAGACCACTACGGCGACCCCACCTGAATCTACCTAACAGCATAATGTAATACAAAGGAAAGGGGGACTGGAAGGGAAAAGAGAAATGAGGAAGCCTAGATGGAAGGCCTTACAGAATACAAGTTCTTGGAAGGGAAGTCCCAAACAGCTATGGGTCTAGGCTGGCTGAGGCAGCCAGACAGAATGACTGTTGATGGAAGCCAATAGGAAAGAAAGGAGCCAAACTGTCAAAAAATCCCATTAATTGTGATAATAGTTAAAATTAAACAGGATTAGCTTCAAGTAACGCTTGTAAATCTGTTCAAAACTAGAATTTGAAGCTAATTTAGGAATGTTAGTTGATCAGATTGTAGCATTACGTCTGCATTGCTAATTTATAATCAAACTTCAACATAGAAAGGGAAGAGGAAAAACCATGGGAGAAGGGAAAAGGCTGCAAACCCACTGCCTAGTAACCATGGTGAAGCATTACATCAGGGCCTGGGCCAGGTCCAGAAGTAAAGTTTTCTACATCCAAGTCCAACAAATTCAACTCCCCACGGAGCCATGAAGCTCACTTGGGTGGGCCTTATATGCCTATTCCATGACTAAAAAGAACTCTATGCTCTGGTATCCTTAAGAATCTGATATACACAAGAAAAATAAAGTAGATGGTGATTAAAATACAGTAGGGCTTTGATCTCTTTACTACTACTTTCACAGTATCTAATCACCATAACGGCATGTGTCGGTGCCTGTCTTGGCACAAGTAGAGTATAACTGGGCTGTTCAGAGTAAATTATACTCTTGCAGCTAAGAGGATAAAGCTACTTACTTGAGCAGAGGAACAGAACAAACCCATTATGTAGATTGCTAGTGATTCTTCAAGCGTACACGATTATTTACGAGTGGTAACAGTATACGGATGGTACAGCTGATATCATGCTCCATAAAAGCATGGCGTTATCACATTAAAGCCAACAGACTTAAATATTGATAAGGGTAAACAGAAAACAATTTCCAGGATAATTAAGGTATCTGATATATTACCACAGATGTCATCAACTCAAGGGCCCTGGCAAGTAAGTTCATAAGTTATCAGCAGTTGTCCCCAGTGCACTGTACAGTCCCGAGGCCTATGCAACCACATGCTTCGCCTCAGTTATTTCTTTAAGATTTCTGGTTGGTTCTACAACCCAAATCGTATTTCATTGTTTACAGAATGCCCCATCCTGTCGACTGTATTGACTCACTCCGTGTAATCCACCTTGAATCCCAGGGAGAAAGGGAGCCTACAAATAATGTAATTAAATAAATGAATAAAAGGTGTGGGCAGACTCCATTTTGGATCAAACCAATCATGGAAAGAATAAGTGCGATAAAATGCAATCACACGGCAAGACAGCCAGGTCCCCTTGAGAAACTGTCACATCTCTTGATAAATGGCTTGTCTTGTGACACTATTTCTCCACACCCAGACCCAAATTGAATGGCCAGAGCTTGTGTAACAAGAGTGTCTTGCTCAAAGCTGTAGCCGGCGGTGGGGCACATGGGGGCGGTGCCTCCTTTTGTATTTGAGGCACCCCCACCCCAGTCTTCCCCAGTCTCCTTACGCTGAGCTATGGGCGGCCCAAAATGACTGCTCACCCCTTTCACTCACCCCCTTACCCTGGCAGCAGAAGAAAACAGCATGTGGCCCATGAGGAGGAATGAAGGAGGGTTAGACCAATGGCTTTGGGCCAGTGGTGGCACAGCACAGCTTAAGCAATACTGGCCCAGCCCACCAAGGAGCAGCAGGAAGAGCTGGTGTCGCCAAGGTAAGCAGCTATTCCTCCTCAGGCACAGAGGGGAGGGAGAGGAGTAGCAGCCCTGGCGGTGGTGCAGTCCCGGCCCAAGTGCGCTTCTCTTCAATCCGGCCGTCTCCACCTGCCAGCTCTTTCCCCAAACAAGGCACATTCTGATCAGACTTCTTTTCTATCTCCGTGGCGTGCATACGGGGGGGGGGGGGGATCCCCACGGCTGCTTTTCCCTGGGAGCAACACCGCACTGAGACCACAGATTTCTGTCGGGGGAGATGGCCCTTTCACCAGCTCTTCTCTTTACTTTTTTATTTTCTTGTGACATCGTGCCCCCCACCACCGAAAATTTCCTGGCTACGGGCCTGGTCTTGCTGCAGACATTCTTGCACTCAGCCCAGTCTCTACCGCCCAACCATGCCTCTGGCTCTCTTGGTCGCTCTCCTCTTTTTCAAAGCTGTACTTCTCTCCCTGCCAGCAATACATTTCACCCTCCTTTTCACTCCGGCCCTGCTGCTGCCCATTGTGTTCTTTCTCTCCACATCTTTCTCTGTTTTTTCTGAAGCTTCCAAGGCTCTGCTCCCTTTGTCCTTTTCCCCCCCCCCCCCACTTTAAGACAGACTTCCCTCCTCAGCCTGTTCAAGTAAGGGAAGATCTTGTCTCACTAACCTGTTAGTGTTCTTTGAGGGGGTGAACAAACATGTGGACAAGGGGGATCCAATAGATATTGTTTACCTTGACTTCCAGAAAGCTTTTGATAAAGTTCCTCATCAAAGGCTCCTAAGTAAGCTCAAAAATCATGGGATAAAAGGACAAGTCCTTTTATGGATCAAAAACTGGCTAATTAATAGAAAACAGAGAGTGAGTATAAATGGGCAATTTTCTCAGTGGAGGGTGGTAAGCAGTGGGGTACCGCAGGGATCAGTATAAAAAGGATATTATAAGCTTTAGGAAACAGATCAGCCAATATAATAATGCCCCTATATAAATCAATGGTGAGACCTCATTTGGAATACTGTGTGCAGTTCTGGGCACCACACCTTAAAAAGGATATTATAGCTTTGGAAAAAGTGCAGAAAAGGGCAACTCGAATGATAAAAGGGTTGGAACACTTTCCCTATGAGGAAAGGTTAAAGCGCTTAGGGCTCTTTAGCTTGGAGAAAAGACGACTGACGGGTGACATGATCGAGGTTTATAAGATTATGCATGGGAAAGAGCAGGTAGAGAAAGAGGTACTTTTCTCCCTTTCTCACAATACAAGAACTCGTGGGCACTCCATGAAACTGCAGAGCGGTCGGGTTAGAACGGATAAAAGGAAGTACTTCTTCACCCAAAGAGTGATTAACACATGGAATTCACTGCCACAGGAAGTGGTGGCGGCTACAAGCATGGACGGCTTCAAAAGGGAATTAGATAAGCATATGGAGCAGAGGTCCATCAGTGGATATTAGCCACAAGGTATAGATAGGGGCTCTGGGGCAAGTGATGCTCTGTCTTCTTGGTGCTTGGGGGGGTCAACAGTGGGAGGGCTTCTAATGTCCTGGCCCCACTGCTGGACCTCCTGATGGCACTGGTATTTTTGGCCACTGTGTGACACAGAGTGTTGGACTGGATGGGCCTTTGGCCTGATCCAACATTGGCGTCTCTAAACAAAGTCAGACTGACACCAACACAGTCTTCACTGCAGCAACTCCCCCCCCCCTGCCCTTTCTCTTTTTGGGGAGACTGTAAATAGATGGGTTTCCCTTAGACTAGTTGTGGGTGGAAAGATGACTGCTTCCATTCATTGCACTGCATCTTTGAGGTTTACCATCCCTTCTTGTCATTCAGTCTATCACTGTACTCAAGAAACACTGATTTACCTGAATTAAGGTTTCTCTCAGCCATTTTATGGATTAAAAATTGTCTGAACTGCAGGAAGCAGAGTGTGGGAATAAATGGACAGTTCTCACAATGGAGGGAACTGGGTACTGGTGTTCTACAAAGTTCTATATTTGGACCACTGCTATTTAATTTATTCATCAATGATCTGGAATTGGGGGTGAGCAGTATAGTGGCCCTACTTTACAGAAGATACCAAACTATTTAGGATGATGAAAACCAAGGCAGATTGTGAAGAGCTCCAGGAGCATTTCTCTAACTTGGGTGAATGGAAAAATAACATGACGAACAAAGTTCAAAGTCAATAACTGTACGGTGATGCACACTGGAACAAAAAATACTAACTTTAAATGTATGCTGAGAGGGAAACAGATCTTGAGTCCTCAGTGTATAGCTCAATGAAAGCATTGACTCAGTGTGCAGCTGGTGGGAGAAGGGCAAACTCCATGTTGAGGATAATTAGGAAAAGGACTGAAAACAAAACAGCCAATATTGTAATGTCCTTGTATAGAGATCAGGTGTGGCCCATTTTAAATACTGTGTAAAAGTTATGGTAACGATATCCTTTTTTCTTTTGTCTGGGTGTGTTATATAAAGAACTAGGTCATCAGCAAATAATGAAATTTTAAATATTTCTCCATTAATTTGCATTCCTGAGACTGCAGTATTTTGGCAAACTATGCATGCTAAAGGTTCTATGGCCATAGCAAATAACAATGGTGAGAGAGGGCACCCTTGTCGGTTGCCTCTTGATAAATTTATTGGGTTTGAGTGGGCACCATTTATCCAAATTTGAGCTTTTGGGGAAGAATAGAGTGATTGCAGTAGTCTCATCAATTCATTAAATCTTAATAGTCCCCTGCGTTTGTCCTACACGAACTTTGAGAAATTATTAATTCAAAAGCAGATTCCTATTAAAAATCTTACATCCAAAATCTATACTATGCTG